CGGCATGCTCCAAATGCATCTCTGAGCATCTTGGCTCTACGTTGCACCAAAAAGACTAGCTGAGCTGAGGCTTTAGACTTTGCTGCGCCCTACACTCTCTAAGAGTCGACAGTGCGTGATCAAATCGATCATCCAGATGGACTGCAACGTCTCATCTGCTCCGTGTTTGCCGCACAATGGAACCCAATTCTGTCCCTATTTCTTGCGTGGTTTGGTTCTGTCACGCCCGTCACCGCCGGCCCGGCTTCTAGAACAGAAAATACCCCTCAACTTTCTTTTCCAGCATGACAGCCTGGCCTGGTCGAAAGTTTGCAGCGCTTCTGGGCTTGTTGCGTCTCAATTCAACTGTCCTATCCGCGTCGTACCGCACCGCACCACAGTCTGCTTTGGCTCGGGAGAACCCGAGTCACGACGCAATCAGCTGCTCGAAGCTGCGACTTTTTACCATCCATGCTGTTTGCTTCAATATCAACAGTAGCACCCTATAGCAGGATCTGGCCCACCGGGACGAGTCTTCAAACTCGTCATATATGACGGAGAAGACGCTTTATCCGGAAAAGATAATGCATGGTTTAATCTGCAGGATTCGCCACAAAACCGCCATCGTCTCGCAATTTTATTTGCAGCGCTCTATGTCCTACTTTGTTCCAGCGTCGAGGGTGCCGGTCGTCTGGTATAGTCCCAAGCAGCAGACGCACCTCACATTCTCCCACCATTCTTGGTGACCCAGGTCATCCGCTGCCGGTGCAGGGTTGCAGATTTCCCGTGGCAAGGCACGCCCCGAGACAAGGGGGCCTACGACAGGCCTGAGCCCTGAAGCCTCTCGCAACTCTTCCTTCATTGCTTTTTGCAATACTCCACCAAGGAGGCGGTCATAGTTCTGGGTCCTTGTTGGGATCATGGATTTTGACACCGACTGCAGATTTGTTTCTCAATATGTCGGCCGCCTCGGAACCTCGATGCTGACCACCGGGTTCAACGACAGCCAAGAGTTTTCTCCCTCTACATACCCCCAGCACGAGCAGTCAATTTTGTCATTGAGAGATGACCATGAGAAGCGCCGCCCGTGTACGGATAGTCCAACAAATCACATGTTAGCCGGCAGCTATGTGGCCTTCTCGTCTGTGGATCAACACCCCATAACAGGGACGGGATGCATCTACCCATAGAAAAGGGGAATACGCCTGGATAGGACCCCTCACAGAAGCACAATCATCTTGCTCAATAGTTCCCGCAGTCCTGCAGTTACGGCCCCAGGCTCCCTATGCAAATCCTGACAGTGTCCTAATCTAGCGTGGCCTAATTGACAGAGACTCCTTGCCAAGTTACGACACGGATTTGACAACTAACTTACCCCGAAATGGAGGGACAGCATGGACAAGCAAACATGGCATACGGTTCTCAATTGGGAAAGGAAATTGTTGCAGAACGGCACTCGCGAGTTGCCAAAACCGAGGATGAAACGTTCGCAAACGTTCCAACAGCCGTTGGACCATCTGTGGCGCGGAATCTTGATCGCTGCAGATAGTCAACTGTAACGGCCGTTGGCTTATTCTGCTCAACAGTGTCATCAAAACGTCTTGCCCTTTCGAGGTTGACGCCATCGGATGAACTGCCTGCGAAAGGCTGGTAGTACCAGAAGACAGTCATGTTTGGCAGCGCGACATGGCGGATCCGGTTTGCATATCACAAGTAATAAGATGGCTTGATATAGCCTTTAGCTTTACACGCAGTGATCAAACGGGCACGGCGCCGAACGAAAGCGATAATGTCTCCCTTGCTCATATCCTAGCAACCTCCGCAGGCGGGAAGCTGCTCGGTATTATAACAAATCAAGAGAAGCCTGACTTCGACTCCCGCGGACCCGGAGAAGAATCTCAAATGCCAGGTATGGCCTTTGCGTCAAGAGCGACAAGCGGTAGAATATGCTCAATTGCTGCCAGGCTCGAAGCACGCTATAGCTCTTCCGAAATTCTGCCAATTTGGGAACAACCATCATCAGACTGGCATAGTCAATCAGTCTTCATAGAAGAACGCAAACATGATTGTACCTCTCTCGAGAGAGAGGTACACATCTGAACAAAGAACGCGAACCCGCATTTGGTTAACATATATGCAGCCGCTCGCCATACCACGAACGTCTTTCGTCCAGATATCTAGCGCGAAAACAAAAAGGCCAACGATGCTTGGCGTCTTACCAAAATTTGCCTAGCCAGGGCCTAGAAGGATCGTAAAGACGGGGGGGATGGGGGGCTCGTCCTCAGATGAACCTCAGGCTTCACGTCGTTCTGTACTCCGTTCGCTTTCCCATCCCTTCCACAGTGGGGCAGAAGCGGCCAGCGTTGGCTGTGAAGCATTCTCAAGTGCCGTCAAGTGAGATCAGCAAAGAGGCCCTGCCGTTGTGGCTGGTCAAATCGACTGTAGGTATGTTCACCAAACCCATGTTGGCATATGCTCCGATAGCTAACTTATCTAAGAGATCAAGCGGATGGCTGACACAATGAGGAAGGCGTTTTCAGGTTGAATCAACCGGACTAGCTTAACAACACGTCTCTACTATAGCACCATGTTGACATCAACATACACGACTACCTATGAACAGGGAACAAAAGTCATCAACAGCATCAAGGACGGCATATCAATAGAGGACCATCACTGCTAATTGCCCGGGAGATCGAAAAGGGGAGAGAAAAAAACCGCATCCCAAGAGAGGCATCAAATCACAGAGGCCAGACATACGTTACTCTTGGAGAGAAGTCCCTGGCCTCGACTCCCTAGGAGTTACAGCAAACCCACTGTGACGACCATCGCCGTCATTCCTCGCCTTTTGCAATCACTGTTCATTGGTCATCACCATACCCAGTTGCTATGGGGGCAACCATGTCTTACTACGGGCGCAAAGGCCTCTCGTAATTTCTAATTCTTGTTCCATGTTCAGGAGACTTTGGTGACGGTCTCTTTGAGATACTCCGTATCTACTCCTACTCAACCAGCTGTGTACCTTTCTTCAAGATGGAGATGCTGACCTGAAGGAATATGCGGTCTATGGCTTGTACACCCCAGCTCGTGCTGCTTGGTGAAAGCCTGGTGAGGTTGTTCATCGTCTGGGATCATACTCATCGTGCGCTTTGATATCGAGTTCTTACCCCGGATGGCGCTGAGTGGACCAACCGCTCCGGGACGTCGTCTTTGCCCAGCTATGCGATCTAAGCCGGGTTGTGGGATACCTTCTCTTTCCCATCCCCAGTCAGGGTCTATGTGTTCAGACCTCAAAGCCACAGTCACAGTATCAGAGTAGCATCCTGATCTTCTCTTCGAAATCCGCGGCAAAGTGCCATCCGGTGTAGGGTATATCGATATGTGCGCCTTTCTTTGTCAATCTCCGACGCGATTGACGAATTACTTTCGGCATTGAGCATCGCAATGGCCCCTTCCATACGGTACCTCACACTTTAGACGGACGTGCGGCTCTTCTTCGTCCGGGCCGAATTCCTCAAATGCTACTACCTACCTATAACGCGCGTCCCAGACGGGCCAGAGGCGCAGGAACGATGCAAATGATCTGCCGATATCTCAAAGCTTCCCTGGTCGCATAGTATCGGTGCAACCATCACCATTCTCCCTATTGGAAAGGCATCCGTGATCGATCTATCACACAGCCATACACATGTTGACATTGGCTTCGTCTTGTTACTCCTCTGCCTTTGGTACTGGAGCTTACTATGGCGAGTAACAGTAGGACTCCCAGAGTTATTTCGAGAGATAGTTCACATGTACTCGCATATATCACAGCAGACCTGCGCGCATCTGCCAGTCGGCAGATTGAAGAGCTGGACCAACAGTGATCAGACCATACCAGACCGTATTTGTAGATCCCATGGAACTGGATCCATGCAGCTTCAAACTTCTTTCGCGCAGTCTCAGGGACAGCCCGCCTTCGAATTTTCCGATCCGACGAGGGGATACTACTCTGGATTTGAGTATCCAATCGCAATGGGCGTCAACGACATCACCTTACCTTCCTCTCCTGTTGCAATGCTACCAGTTTGGGATTTCCTCTCGGGGATTATGCAGGAGACGCCCAATGGATGCTACGCCAGGAACGGACTATGTTCGCCAGCCCATTGCGACATTGCGATCAGACCGAGTGGCATTCACTCACACTCAACAACAGCTCAACTCTCATCTGTTGCCATCAGATTACAACGGGCGCAAAGCCACTCGCGGTCGGAGGCGTTCTTCCTTGGTGATATACGAACTTGGCGTTACAGCCACTCCTGCTACGTCGGTAACACGAAGACCGAGTTAGAAGCGGCGGCTAAAGCTGTCGGTACCTTGCGAATGCTATTGTGCCCAGAGGTTGTCGGAAGAACCTCGTCGGGTCCTTAACAATTCGCCCCGAAGGTAAGGACGGGGTTTACACCTCCAGATCGATTTGCTGAGGTACACAGGTAATGGTTCTTCTAGACCGGGAGGCTGGGGGACGATCTCATGCGCCCTTCCCCGTCCGACCTCAAAATCCAATGCTGAAGTTTCCGGAAGACATGGAGTTGATTCGTCGCACAAGACAGAAGTCAATTGAAGAAAAATGAAAAATCCAAAAGGCGCCGAGACTAATTGCCGCTAGAGATGTGTCACAGCACCTCTAAAGTTATTACGCATACGGACGTAAGAATCGACAAGGAGGCGTGGGAGGGTGATGGGGATGTTGGCGTCATCCATCAGCTGTGGCTGATAGGGGTGTAGGTACTATGTAGGGGTCGCCAGTACGTGGCATCTGCAGTCCCCCGTGCTGATGGCATCATCCCGCTTTTCGCAACGAAGATCGCAACAATTCCCCTGCTTTTGTTTCGAATTGACGATTATACGTCTCGAGGTGGCTGTGGGTGCTCCTACTCCCGTAGGGAGCTACAGATACCACTGACGGAACTGCAAATACCCACGTCCACCGCCCACACGTGCGGCGGTTCTGAGATTAGGCGCGGGGGACTCGGGACCGAGTTTTCTTGGACCAAGTTTCGTTTCAAGCACAGGCCAGCTTCCCTTGGGAGAGTGTTTGATGACTAAGCACAAGAGACTGTCTCTTGGGAGAAGCTGATCACTTGATTCTGCACGTGAGGCCAGTATCAAACACGCGCCCGGGCCGTAGGGGTCTTGGACCCTGCCGAAAGGGATGAATGGAAAGTTTCAGCCGCGCTGTCAATAGGAAAGCGTGGTTCTCAAAGGGTGAGATGATGTGAAGCTCATATCGTACCATGAACTGGAAGCCCTCAATTACATCGTCGACGAAATAAAACATTGCGTGTGTGAAATTGGTGGCGGAGCTTCCAACCACACGTCCGATTCTCATCACAGCCCACCCGTATCCGTCTTACAAGCAAGGGAGTGAGTGAGTGAGTGAGTGATCGCAGGGAGAACCAGATACTGTTGTAAACAGAAAGCACACAACAAACAAAACCATCGAGAATCCAAGCAACAACAAGATCACCGGCAACAACAGAGAGGGAGAGAGAAAGAAGCATAATCATAATGGACCCGAATATCTCGGCATCCGCTCTGGGTGAGCCACACCACCTGGGCATCGGCTTCTACCTCCTCCCCTTCGCCACGTTCCTCTGCTTCCTCGTCCCGGTCCTCTACATCTTCCCCCCGATCCCGGCCACCACCAGCGACGCCCTACGCTCAACCCACACCAAGATTGGCGTCTCGCCGCCAAAGAGCAACCTCCGGGACCAGTACTCCGTCAAGGCCGACGCCGGCAGCACCTCCAATGCCGGCACCGGCACCGGCACCGGGCCCGTCGCCCGGGTCAAGGCGCTCTGCGTCTACCCCATCAAATCATGCCGCGGCATCGAAGTGACCCGGAGCAAGCTCCTCCCGACGGGCCTGGAATTCGACAGGCTGTACACTTTCGCGCAGCTCAAGTCCCGCTTCCCGGCCGCCGTGGACGACTCGGCCGAGGCGAAAGACGAGCACACCTGGGAATTCGTCACGCAGCGCCAATTTCCTCTCCTCGCGACCATCAAGGTAGACGTCTACGTGCCCGACGCGACCAAGTCCACAGTCTTCATGGAGAAGTCGTCCGACGCGTGGATCGTGATGCGGTTCCCCTGGCGGGAACCCGGGTTCCGGGGCACCATGTCGTGGGTGGCGTCCAAGATCCGGGACGGATGGAGGGGGCAGCCGGAGATGGAGGTGCTGTTGCCCGTCGAGTTCCCGACGGACGCGGAGATTGCGGAGCGCGGGTACACGCGCGAGGACGTCAAGGTGTGGAAGGAGGTCGTGCCGGCTCTGAATATGGACAAGGAGTTGCCGGGGGAGCTGTGTCGGTACCTGGGGGTGAGCAACAAGCTGGCGCTGTTCCGGGTCGATCCGGGGCAGTTGAGGGAGGTGTATCGGTGTGCGCCGCGGAAGGAGGAGGCTGGGTATCAACCTATTGTTGGGTTCCAGGATGCTGTGAGTTCTTGTTCCTTCTTTGGTTCTTGGTTTTGCGTCCTCTTGCCCCTTTTTCGGGTTTTCTCTTTGTTGAGAGGGATGAGAAATGAATGCATGGAAAGTGAGAGAGGGAAACTTGAAGCTAATGAATCATTTGGGGAAAAAGTATCCTCTCCATATCATGAACATTAGCAGTCTCCAGGACTTTGACGCCAAGGTCCCCAAGGACGACGAGCTCAAGCATCTCGACGTCAGGAGGTTCCGGTCCAACATCATTGGTAAGTGCTATCTGACATAGCATGAGATGACTCTTCCCCTTCGAGACTCCAGAGACTCGATATTGGTCACAGAATTCTAGGTTCAAGAGCTTTGCTAATGGCATCCTGTACTATCGTAGTCTCTGGTGCGCCAGCCTACGACGAGGAATCATGGAAATGGGTCAACTTCACCCAGGGCACCTCAAAGGTCACCGTCCCGGCAAAGTTCCAAGTCTCGTGCCGTACAGTCCGGTAAGCCCCCCTCCCTTTCTCACACAATCGCTCAATCGCTCAATCACTCAAAGAAAAAAAAAAAACACCTTGGCTAACACCCCCTAAAAGCTGCAAAATGCCAAATGTCGACCCAGTAACCGGCGCCCGCCACGGCGCCGAACCAGACAGGTCCCTCCGCAAGCTCCGCGACGTCGACGAGGGCGCCCCGCGCATGGGGTGCCTGGGCATGCAAATGTGCCCGCTCTTCGAGGGCACCGACCGCGTCGAGTACATGCAGGCCTGGCTCGAGGTCGGCATGGACGTCTCCGTGCTGGAGCGCGGCGAGCACGTGTACATCAAGCAGTGAAAATCCAGGCCATTCATCTCGATCTTAGTCCTGGAGAAGAAGAAAGAATATCTGGGCAGCGGCTGATGAGGCAATTTGGCGCTGCTGAGGAGAGATGAGTGGTTGGATTTTCGTCTTGCTTGATTATGGTGTGTGAAATGGCATAATAGACATAGACTTCAATCACACGCAGAAGGAGAGAACGTTATAGGTTAAGACCAGGAAAAACAAAATTTGATTTCTTAATCTTCGCACTCGCAACCTCCATTAGATATCATGCCAATTACTCCTGTATTTCCGGCTTGTTTGGCGTGAGAGAGACAAGCCCGTCCGAACCCAGTGCAGAAAAACGACAGAAAGCGTGCTCCGCTGTGGTATCCAACGAAAAGAAATTCCAGCCCGACCCAGAAACCCCGTCGACTACCCTTGCGCCTCTTCTTCAGACCGGGAGAGAGGCCCCAACGGCAAACGGAAAAGGTGAAGAAAATCCCATCATCGTCATCATCATCATGTCGCGATCCGAAAACTATTTTAGAAACATTCACGAGCAAACGCGAACAAGCACGTTTTACTTCATGTCAGCAGGCGTCAATGCTTGGACCATACTGGTTCCTTCGCTGAAGCGAGTCCGGAAGATGCGGTTCGCGTTCTGGAACATGCCGTCCTTGAGAGAGACGACGATGAACTGCGAGCCCTTGAAACGAGTCTTGATCAGACGACCAATGTTTTGCGTGTGGGACAGATCCAGCGCGGCGTCAACCTCGTCAAGAATGTACATGGGCGCAGGCTTGAACTGCAGCAGGGCCATGATGAGTGAAAGGGCGATGAGAGATCTTAATTGCACGCGTTAGTTTGATTCATCGAAGCCAAGTGGAAAAGATTGAGTGCATGCTTACCTCTGACCACCAGACAGCTCAGTCAAGCTCTGCTTCCACACCTTGCCAAGGGATACCTTGACTTCGAGACCATCGCTAATGGTCTTGCCTTCAGGGGGGTCCAACTTGGCGAAACTGCCGGGCAAGAGCTCGTTGAAAATCTGACCAAAGTCGCCGTTGACCTTCTCCCATGTCTCTTGCAGGGCCTTCTTTTTATAGTCGTCCAGGCTGATGATAGTCTCCTCAATCTTGCGCTTGTCGCGGATGACAGTCTTCATCATGTGCTTGAGTGACACCTCCTTCTTCTCGACGCTCTCAATCATGTTCATGACCTTGGGGTTGATCTTCTTCTTCATACCCTGGAAGCGGTCCGTGAGGTTACGGAGCGTCGACTTGCACTCGCCAATGTTCTGACCCTTGAAGTCATACGGCGTTCCTGAGCGGCCAAAGTTCTCCTTCTCATCGGCAATCCAGTCGTGCTCCTTCTCCATGTGCGCAACAGTTTGCACGGCCGATTGCTGCTCCTTGTGGAACCTTTCGACCTGATGGCCAAGCTTCTGCATCTCGAGACTCTCCTCGGCGATGCGGGCGTTCTTGGATCGGGTAGCGTCCTCAAGGGCGTGGAGTTCGTCATCGAATCCATGAAGCTTGGCCCGCTCATCGTCAAGCTCGGCCTGGACACCGTCAAGAGTCTCTTGCAGGGTGCTTTGCTGCTTGACAAGATCCTCGATGTCCTGCTGCTGGGCCTTGATGGCTACTTCAACCTCTTGCTGCTGTTCGCGGGCCGCGGACAAATCGCCAGAGACCTGTTCTGAGTCGAGCTGAGCGCCTTGTACTTCCTTCTGTAGAACCTTGACGGAAGCAGTGTTCTTGGTAAGGTCGGCTCTCAGCTTGTCCAACGACTTCTGGAGCTCAACAAGCTTGGCATCCTTGTTGTTGTCGAAGTCCTTCATGTCCTTCTCAATCCGCTTGACGTCAGCAGTGGCTTCGGAATGCCTCTTTTTGGCTTCTGCAGTGTCGTTCTTGAGCTGGGCAATGGTTTCCTTCATGTTCTGCACCTCTTGGATGATTGAAGAAGAAGAGTTGCTGCTAATCTGCTCCTCCCCAAGCTTGATCTCGTGGCTCTTCAGGTCAAGCTCCTGCTTGATCTTGCGAGCGTGGTCAAGTTTCGATTTCTCACTCGCAATGGTGAGCTGAAGCTGGTGCAACGAAGACTCGGCCTCCTTGAGTTGGCGTGTGATCTCGTTAAGCTTTTGCAGCGTGACGAGCACACCACTGGAGTTGGGGGAGCTACCACCCGAAAGTGTACCTGAGGGGTCATAGGAATCACCTTCGAGGGTGATGGACCTCATCCTAACGTTAGGGTCGAAGGTGACCCTCTTGGCCGTCTCTGCATCTGCGCAGATGAGGGTGTTGCCGAATACATACTCCATAGCGGCGGAGACCTCATTGTCGTAGCCAACGAGTGACAGGGCTAGGTCAACCTTGCCTGGTGCAATTCTTTGGGCAGCCCCGATGGCCTGAGCCGAGGCTTTGAAGGCCGCAATCTTGTTCAAAGGAATGATGGTGACACGCTTGCGAAGCTTTCCTCCTTGAAGCAGTTGAGTGCCAGTGACTTCGGAGTCAACCACGACGTTGTAAAGGCGACCACCAGCGCAAATCTCGAGCGCAGTACCGGCTTGCGTGTTTTGCTTGTCGAGTGTAAACAGCTGGGCAACCAAGCCCTTGACCTTTGATCTATCAAAGTTGGGTGTCGGGTCGGCATAGTTGAAGTCAATGTTGGCGACCTTGCGCTTCAGGCCGTCGGCCTCCTGACGAAGACCTCGGATCTGCTGCTGCAGGGATGACTGCTTTTGGTACAACTGCTCTTCCTGGCCGGGCTCGAAGCCTAGTCGTCCGAGCTCTTTCTCGAGCTTCTGCGCTTGTGACCTTAGGCCTTCGAGATCCCTGAGAAGGTCGGCATTCTGCTCTTTCGCCTTCTTGGCTCGCGGTTCCTCCTCCTTGATGCGCTTTTCGAGATGAGCAATCTTCATCTTTGCTTGCTCCTGTTCGGTAACCGATGCTGTCGCGCGGTTCCTTGCGTCTTGTAGCTGGCCTTGGTAACCGCTTTCTTGACCATCCTTGGATGCAACACCAGTCTGTAAGGTTTGCAAGAGTTCCTCCTTGGATTCGGCTTCTTGGCTTTGCTTCTCCAGGTCGTTCTTGGCTGCGTCGAATCGGGCTTTGATTTCCTCAAAGGCCTGAGTCTTTTCTTGCAGTGTCGCCTCCAGCTCCGCGACGTTCTTCTCGACAGCCGTCTTCTTCTCTTTCTCTTCCGCCATGCTGGACTTCTTCAAGTCCATGACCGTAGCAAGTCTGACCAGCTCGTTTGAATGCTTCTTGACGGCATCCTCCAAAGCTTGCGCCTTCCCTCCTTTCTTCAACTCCTTGTCGCGCTGAGCTCGGACTCGTTTGACGTCCTCTTCAAGGTGGGAGATTTCGCTCTTCAGTCGTGCCGCAGACTCCTCGAGGTCTTTTTGTCTTTGTTTCTTGCCCTCCAGGTCTGCTGCGGATTGCTCAAGCTTTTCTTGGCACCTTACATAGTCGTGCGCCACGACCACCCGTGTAAGGCGCTCGAGATCGTTCTGGGTTTGTTGGAAGTCCAGGAAGGCTCGCTTCTCTGTCCTGAGCTTCTCGAGCTTCGGCTCGATCTCGTCTCGTAGCAGCTCGGTGATTTCTTGCAGCTTCATCTCTTTCTTCGCCATGGTCTTAAGCGCCTTGTCCCTTCTGTCCTCAAACATTCTGGTTCCCGCAGCTTCCTCAATCATGGCCAGAATTTCGACCGGCTTCATGTTGAGAACCTTTGTGATTCGGCCCTGCATAATGAGGAAATTTGGGTTGTTGATGTTTAGCTGAACAGACTGGAAAAGGTTTTGTACAGTCTGTTGTTGGGCTCGGTGTCCATTGATGAGGTATTTGGATGTGCCGCCGAGGACGATTTGTCGAGTCACACTAATGGTTGAGTACTCTTCGAAGCCGATCGGCGACTTCTTCTTGTCTCTGTTGTCGAAAACAATCGTAACACTCGCTTTCGTCACACCGGCTTGACCGCGCTTGTAGATAAGATCCTGTTGTGAATAGCATCAGCTTCACCTGCCAACAGCAGAAATCCGCCGCAGTGGATGGCTACGCACCTGGAGGTTTTGCGCTCGGACTGTTGTCATGTTGGTAATTCCCAGAACGAAGCAAATGGCGTCCAAAATGTTGGACTTGCCGGAACCGTTGAGACCGGTGATCGAGTTGAAACTTTCGTCCCTGTGTCGTGTGAGCTTTTGCCCCCTCACAACCAAGGCAAGGGGTTTGTTTACCATCCCGAAATCACCGTTCGCACGGCATACGACTTGAAGCCCTGGATATTGTTAGCAACGAAAAGATGAAAGAAGAAACGTGATCGCATACGTCTATGATAACCTCTATGACCCTCATGCTGCAGTAGTTAGTGGTTGGCAATGGTGTTGCTGAGGAGTGTTGTCAGAGTCAAGGTCTTTTTGTTTACTTTCGACCGGTCGCGTTTCCACTTCACCCCCCCTTCCCATGGATGGAAGGTTTGGACCCTCCCGCACTTCCGCCCGATAAGGCCCTTATCAGGGACAGCACACACATGGGGGGGGCAGTCACACAGGGCACCGCGAGTCTCCCGCCAGGCGCAAGCGCGACTGTCAATCTGTGATTGCCCCGGCTCAGGCAGCCCCACGAGCTTCAGCCGCGCTAAGCTGAATTCGGACTCGACCAAAACATTCGGTTCGCAATGCAATTCAAATCCAGGTCCATCAACACCACCACACATCCATACAGCTTTTGTGTGCTTTCCACTTTTTGCTTTCCTCTCCCCCTTCTTTTCCAGCAACTAACTTACTACACCCATCTACCACATTCCGAACTCGATGACCAGCTAGCATTTCCCTTCTCTTTCACAGCGACACTCTTGCGCGCGTCGCGATCTACCCCTCACAATGGCGGCGATGCGAGGAACGCGTGTGCCTATTGGCTCCGCGTCATGGATTAACGAAGAACGAACTACAGCCCTTAGCATCGTTCAGGCTGAGGCCGAGGAGTTCTCCTTTGCCGCGAGAAACGAGTTTGACTGGCTTAATGAGCATATGGCTGGGGTCTTCAACGAGAACGAGATGTATGGTGACCCCTAGCCAGTTGCTCCTTCACGATTGCTAACTACCTTGATAGCAATGTCGCCGAGATTTTCAAGACACCTGGAAAGCTTCGAAGCAAAACGCCCCGAACGGCGCGTAAGGTCGACAATGGCGAGCCTCGTATCGTGAGTTTACTGCTCTCACGCGCGCAAATGTCAACGTCCGCTAACAAGGTGCAGCCACTATCAGATGTGTTCTCTTCCACTCCCAACGGCGCCCCGAACACTTTCACACAACATCTCACTCGCGCTACTCCCAATGCCAACCCTGCGCCATCAACATCATCACCTTTGATCAACAGGAATATTTCGCCCCTCAAGGCTGCCCCCTCCCCTAGGCCGGTTTCGAAACAGCCCGTTGCACTAGCCGATTCCGGCTACTATGGCAGCCAGGATGTCGACAACATGGACAACGAAGAGGAAGACGACGACGACATGGATGTCGACCTGATTGAAGAGGAGACACAGATTGGCGAGCCACGATCGAGCCCCCCAAAGACTGCTGGACGAACCGGCCATGTCGCCTTCGAGGCCATCGAGCAGAACGCGCCTCAAAGCCCTACCGAAACACGCACTATGCGCTCTCCCGAAATTACTTTCCAAACGGCCAAGGAGGAGCAGACAACGCGGGTTATACGCGATCTCACCGAGGAATCTCCATCCCCAGCATCGTCCAAGACCTCAGCTGCCCCAAGCCCGGCCAAGGAAGCCAGAACGCCCTCGCCTCCTATCGTGTCACCCAAGCCTCGCTCCGCAAAAAAGAGCGTGTCGCCTATCAAGGCCTCACCACAGAAGCGCTCCCCAGCGAAGCAGTCTTCACCGCCATCCTCACCTGTGCTTGGAGCTGCACCATCTCCCATGCCCGAGCCTTCGCCTGCTGCCGAATCACAGGATGATGTGGACGTCCACATGGACGATGATACACGATCACCATCCGACGACGAGTCGAGCCCGATCCGCCCAGTCAGAAAGAGCAGCCTCAACTTTGCTTCACTTCCTGCTAGAGAGCCTCTTAAGAATAAGAGTATCGGGGCTCGTGTCTCTAGGACCAGCCACTTGGATATGAACCGTCAGAGTTACTACGGCAGGCAAACAGGAGGAAAGAGTTTGGGAAACAACATGGAGCTACTTGGGGAATCAGACGACGAGGAAGGCAACGACGACGGAATGAGCATCGATGGCTCAGCCGAAGACACAAAGGAGGTCGACAACTACGCCTCCAACCACAACAAGACATACACTCAACGACTACAAGACCAAATCAACTTGCTCGGTAAATCTCAACCGAACGCAAGCCGACCTTCAAAGTCGATCCCGAGCTCAGCGGTTGCGCAACAGCTTGCACAAACGACTGCGACCCAATCAGTTGCAGATGCCAAGGCAGCAACACCCGCGAAGAAATCTGCTGCACCACCGACTCCTGGGGCGTTCCCGGAGGACGATGATGAAGAAGACGAAGTGGAAGCGGGCGAAGAGGATGACTGGATTGCACCTCCTGTGCCTGCGAAAGATACGCCCTTGGCCAGTCCACGACCGCATTTGCCTAAGAGCCACACTGCAGACGTCATGGAAGGCATCGACAGGGCAGACACCGTCAGCGGCCCTGAATTCGCTTTGCCTAAGCAGCGGCAATCTCCTGGTCGCTCAGGCTCCCCCAAGCGGGCACCTGTCATTCCCGAACGCACTACCAGTGTTTTTGGACATGGGAAATCTGCTTCTGTTTCTGTCTTGCCTGATCTTTCCACGGACAAGATGGTTGAAGACCTGTCTCCAGCCAAGAAGCATGTTTCAGTCTCCAACCCTCTGTCAGCCGTGCCGGAGGATGGACGCCCCGAGACTCCTCAATCGCCTACACGAAGCTTCCGGGACAGTCCTTTGAAACAGGTCAAGAACAAGCTGTCTTCCATTCTGAAGAGTTCCAAGGGCCTTCTTGCGAGCAGTGCAGCCATCAGCGCTGAAGGCAAATCTTCGCTAATGTCCCCTTCCACCACTCGCTTTGGCATCAACCCCGGTCCCTCTACAGACTCGATCGTGCCTCAGTCAGTCGCCGCAGAGCCATTATATCCTGACCTTTCCAAGCGAATCGCAGCCGATGCTCAGACACTATCTAGCATGGGAAGCCCTGAGAAGCCCGTTGCGCGCAGAACGCGGGCTTCCGTTGAGAAGGAGAAGGAAGACAAGCGGAAAGAGAAAGAGGCCAAGCTGATGGCCGATCAGATGAGCAAGCTTGACAAGGCTCGTGCAGATGAGCGGGAAAAGGCCCGGACTTTCAGCAAAGAGCAAGAAAAGATTGCCGCGATGGAGAAGAAGATTGCTGCTCAAAAGGAGAAGGAGCCTGAACAAGACCAGGTCAGGGAGGTTGAACGATCTGCTCGAACGCCGGCGCCGAAGGAAGCACCCAAGCCCACAAGAACTAGCCCCCGCAAGGCTAAGGCTCAGGCCGAGGCCGAGGCCGCTGCCCAGGCCTCACAATCAGAGAAGCCCGATGTTGAAATGGCTGAAGCGCCAACCCCCAGGCCGCCGCCATCCGCTCCTCGCTCTGTTGGCCCTAGCCAAACGGCCAGGCAGCGGGAACTCAGGCGTCCGATGAAGCCAACCAAGGAAGCACCCAGCAAGATCAAGCAAGCACCTACCGTCATTCGCGTTAACACCGGCTCGCAACACTCGCAGTTCCACCCCTCCAACAGCACATTATCATCGGGCCTTCAAGAGACACTGGTCTCATCGGTCAAGTCCAAGTCAAGCCAGCCAGGCTCACATAGCAAGCAATCTCTGGCGAGCATGAAAAGCTCTGTCTCGTCCAATGGGCGACCGAAAGCACTCGAGCTTGCCGCCAAGCGAAAGGAACAGGAGGAACGGGAGGCTCAAAGGAAGAGAGATGCGAAGCTCGAACTCGAACGGAAACGCGCTGCAATCCAAGAGGAAGAGCGCAAGCAGGAACTGCAGAGGCGACAAGAGGCAGAGAGACAAAGAGAGAGGGAAAGGGAGCAAGCCGAGGCGAAGAAGAGTGCACAGAGACAAGCAGCAATTGAGCGTGCCAAGCAGACGCGAGCACCACCACCTGCTGTGCGCTCTCAGCCCAATGGCCCTCCCGACTACACTGCCAGTCAACGCTCCGATGGCCAACCTCCCCGTCCTCCGTCCCGAATGAACTCCATGGCCCATCGGTCTCAAGAGGATCGACCAGTCAATGCTGTTCTTTCTAACGCTTCGAAGCCAGGCTCAAAGCGCCCCCTGCCGCAAGACAGCAGAGAGGACACTGGCTCTCGCAACCCTCCCGCACGTAACGGGCAATCTTACAAGACCCAGGAAGCCAAGCGTCGTCGCACTAGTGATGACTTTGCTGATGAGCTTGACATGGACATTCAGCCACCCAACATCAAGGGCCCCCCTGTTCGCCCTCCGTCAGTGGGTTTCAAGAAGGTTAGTAACTCATTGCTCAGTGCGCACGACGGGAGCTTTGCTAACGTGGATCATCAGGACATGCCCACTAAGTCGACGTACGGCTACACGAATGCACCGCCGAGTGCCTCCAGAGATTTATTCAAGTCTACCGTCACCGCTCAGCACCACAGCACAATCAAGTCCACAAAACAAGTGGATATGAACCAGTTTGCTCAGGGACACATCCCATTCGCGCCTAACCCAAACCCTGCCGGCCCGGCTCATAAGACACCGGCGCGACCTATGGGTGCTGCAAGCACAAAGTCTACCGCCAAGGCTACAAGATCGTCTCCTCGATTCCAGGATGGTGAAAAGATTGAACTGCCCGAAATCGATACAGATGAGGACGAGGATGATGACGACTCCCACTTTGGCGTTGCCCCTTGGGCTGATTCGCCTGATTTGAGACGCGCCCTCATGAAACAGGAAACCATGAATCCTGAGGGTATCTTTGGGCCTCCCCGCGCCCTTAACATGGAGGAAGTGTTTAACAACAAGGAGAGATGGCACAAGTTCCGCGCGCGCACATCAAGCGCTAACTGGAGTGGATCGGATCGCTTGACAGAAGACGAGATTAGGAAGGATCTTGCAGCTCGCGACAAGCTTCGCAGAGAGGGTGGTTGGTCCTACGAGATGAGCAAGGACTTGATGTGAGAGTCGCCGCAGACTTGGCGTTGGTTTTGGTGGTTGGGTGACAACTGTGTGGATTACACATGCGAACGTGCTCACGATGGGACATATGCAAGCAGATCATACGGCTGCTCAGACTGGCTGAGTAAAGCCTGGTGTATTCTTTATTCTTGCAAGGAAGCAAGAAATTTTTTTATTGCAGGCGTTGAGCAGCATAAGGCATACAATTATGACCGTGTTAATATCGAGCAAAATGGCAAATCGGCGTTACCTTTGAAGCTATGATGAACCTCGTGGTATGTTAGCCACAAGTCGGACATGCACCTGAGGGCCGGCTATCACTGTGTCCAGCTTTCATCCGATCGCATGGATGAGAGGTAAGGCTCCGAGTCCTGAGCCAGGGTTGTGTCATTCTCGTTGACAGGGCAACCGCCCCGGACGCTATGACCGTACCTGCCAGGATCCGACGCGGTTGTGCACCCAGGTACCTAGGTAGTTAACGCGCTGGACCCTTGTCACTCTCCAAATTTCCTGGTGGTATTCGTAACCTCCAATGGTTTCCAGGAGCTGTCAATCCATCCACCAATTTCTTGACCCGGATTCGCATAACGACCCTTTCTTTTGTGCCGATTCGGATTGCGTGATCTCCTGCATCCGTGATAATCCTGGAGAATGGGTGCTAACGACAGCACGGAGAGCCGAAAGCGCAGTCGTGCCACACCTGCGAAACCAGACCACAGTATCCCATCGAGCTTCAAGAAACGGAAGCTAGACGCCAACGGCAACCCGATCGTCGCTTCTTCTCCGACAACACCCAAAACTACTCCAGGGGCCAATTCGTCGGCTGTAAAGAAGTCCGCTCGCAGTAAAATTACATCCTCGCCCGTCTCAGCATACGACGTGCCAGACTCCCCCGAAGACAACCCGCCACGTCGAATCCGCAACGTTAGGAGCGTTGACCGACCGACTGCCAAGGTTCCGATCCCGCCTCGCCGCAATGTCGACGTTGACATTTACGATATTCCCTGCTCCGACGACGAGTTGCATTCGAGCCCGAAGGAGGTGAACTCGCAGAAAGCGAGCCCTACGAAGAAAAAAAGCAACGCCGCGGCCGACCACGCTATAAATGAGGTCAATGGAGGGGAGACCATCGAGGAGCCACAGCCCCGAAAGGGCAGGAGCAATAGGGTGCTGGGAAAGGACGAGAAGTATGCTTCGACGGAGGAGTCTTCCTCGCAGATACGATCGAGCGGACGCCGGAGAACTCTGACAGCGAAAGCCCTCGAGTATGTGGAAAAGGTTGCGAGTCGCTCTGCAACTCCGACTTCTCACGCAAGATCTTCTGCCGCTGTGGATGAAGTTTCGAAGTCCAAGAAGGCGACGGGGAAGGTCAATCGCAATGTGTCTATGCCTTTGAAAGGCATTTTGACGCCGTCCAAGCGGGACGGTACGCCGAGAAGGAGCAAGAGCGTAGCATTTGACTCTGCCAGTGCCTTGGCTCAAGAGGAGGTGTTTTTCGAGGATCTTCCGACAAAATCTGGGAGAAGCCGAAAACCATCACAAAAGGTGGTTGAAGCAAAAGTAGCAGTGGCGAAGCCCGGGAAGTCACGAAAGGCGCCACCGAAGGTAATCGACGAGGAGCCACAGGAGGAAGAAGAGGCGGAGTCAGAAGTTGAAGAACAGCAAGACGAGAAACCGGTAGCAGAAGCGTCAGAGCAGGAGGAAGAGGAAGACGAGGACGTTTGTTCGATATGCACGAAGCCCGATTCCAAGCCGGGAAACAGAATTCTATTCTGTGATGGCTGCGATAAGGCGTTCCATCAGAAATGCTACAACGTGCCCAAGGTTCCCCGGGGAGACTGGTTCTGCAACGAATGTGTTGGGCAGAAGCAGTCGCGAGCAGTGGCAGCAGACGAGGCGGTGAAGACTCCCAATTTCGCACAACACCTGAGCAATCTGCAAAGGGTGCTACTGGACCGGTGTACTGGTCGCCGACGAATCAAGCTGATCGACCAGGATGACGCCTACGAAAAGGCGCATCAGCTGGTTGAGCAGACGGTACTGGCTGGGGAGGGCAACTCCATGCTCGTAATAGGGGCAAGGGGATGCGGCAAGACCACGGTAGGTCGAAAGTCATTCCCCCGGCATCGGTGCTGTTCTAATATCAAACAGCTCCTCGAGAGTATAGTTGACGACCTGTCTTTACAACACAAGAAGGAATTTCACGTTGTAAGACTAAACGGGTTTATTCACACCGACGATAAGCTGGCTCTCAAAGAGATTTGGCGGCAGTTAGGCAAAGAGATGGAGGCGGAGGACGAGGCCAATGCTCGGGTTTGCAGTCCCAATACCTCAAGAGATAGAGGTCAAAGAAACTAACGGATTGTGTAGTCAAATTATGCCGACACAATGGCCTCGCTGCTTGCGCTGCTATCTCACCCGTCGGAGATGGCACGGGCGGAGGAGGGTGTGACCTCGCAAGCGGTCGTCTTCATCATTGATGAGTTTGACATGTTTGCAGCACATCCCCGGCAAACGCTGCTCTACAATCTGTTTGATATTGCACAGGCGCGTAAAGCCCCTATCGCGGTGCTGGGTTGCACGACGCGGATGGACGTAGTAGAAAGCCTGGAAAAGCGCGTGAAGAGTCGCTTCAGCCACCGCTATGTCTACTTGTCCCTCCCAAAGAGCTTGCCGGCATACTGGAAAATATGCAAGCAGGGTCTTTGCGTCGACGACGAGGACATGGACGTCGAGGGCATCGATGTCAATGTTGATGGACACGAAGCTTTCCACGCAAATTGGAAGGCTATGATTGAGGTATGTTTCCACAGCGGATTGCAGGAGGGGTGGAAACTGACTCACCTCTCGACAGGTTCTATACAAAGAAAAGGCATTCCAGAGCCTGCTGCAATACCACTATGCGACGACGAAATCCGTCTCGGCGTTCCTATCAGCGTGTATCCTCCCCCTCTCCGCGCTTTCCTCTACATCTCTAGACCTCGTCATTCCACCAACACCAAGCGGTGCGCTTGTCTCCCTCACGCCACCAAACTCCAAACTTCACCTTTTGTCGTCGCTTTCTGAGCTGGACCTGGGTCTCCTCATCGCGGCAGCGCGACTGGACATTGTCGCGCACACAGACACGGTCAACTTTGCGATGGCGTACGACGAGTACGGCTCGCTGATGGGCCGGCAGCGCGTGCAGTCGGCCAGCTCCGGGTTGCTGGCCCTGGGCGGCGGCGTGCGGGTGTGGGGCCGGGGTGTGGCTGGTCTCTCATGGGAGAGGCTCGTTGCCCTGGGGCTGCTGGTGCCAGCGGGTCTCGGGACGGGTCGGGCTTCGGGGTACGGCGGGCTAGAGGGGAAGATGTGGAAAGTGGATATGGCGCTGGAGGAGATTCCCGCGGGATTGAAGTTGAATAACGTGTTGGCGCGGTGGTGTAAGGAGATTTGAGCGTGGGAAATGGAGTCATGCTTCGACGAAGACTGATTGAGCCCCGTCTTGGAGGCATATGATATGACTGTGGCGTATAGACTAAAGCGGTAGACCAGTATCAGCCATTACATATTCGCACCCCTAGGACCTGTAACAGTAGTTGGCGGCAAAGGAGCTGGCTGATACTGAAAGTCGAGCGCCTCCTTGGCGATCTCATTTCCACAACTGGTTCCCAGGGCTTGGCGCCACATGAGTATCGCGCGGTCTAGGGATTCGTAGGGCGTGGTTGGCATAAAGTGGTCTGATCGTCTATCAAGTAACAAGTAAGGACGCCAGACGTGGCCAGGCGAATATCTTACCTTGGGGAGCGTGGGGAGGCAAGTAGGTAGGTAGGCACGTTGGGTAAATTAAGTTGGACCAGATAGTTGTTCTGATGCGGCGCTAGGGAGGCGATCCGGCCCGGTGTCTAGGCTGCTTTTGTCAAGGTCGGGGGGTTGTTGGGTGTTTGTTTGGAATCATGGATATGCAGTCTGCTTATGGATATACGATGTAGGTGTGAGGAGAGGGGAATACGAGGACGGCGGGCAGTATTTCTATCTCCCTAACAGACCTTAATCTTGCTGGAGTCTCTGAGGGCGGTTGGTTTTGGGGGGGGGGGGGGGTTCATTTATGTTTAGTGATCACGAGAGTAGCGCATTTTGGATAGCGTCAGCCGGGTAGTTGTAATATTATGGTGAACTACCGATGTCTTTGAGTGTATCATGAACCGAAGCGGATCCCATTGGCTATGGTCTGCTGTCAAGTCCTAGTTTAAAGTCTAAATTGGCTTTGTGGTGTGGTGGGCAGTGTGGTAGTTTCAAGGTTTGATGATGGTTGTTGTTGCTTGGGGGAATTTGATAGCTGCGTAACGGCCGTAACGTCGTCGTCGTCGTCGGACGCCCGGGGGCGAAGGTCGAGACGCAGAGTATGAGGACCTTTGGCACTTTGGGTGCGCCTTTGCCCTTTTTTGCGTTTTGCGTTTTGCTTCTCCATAGACAGGCACCCTGAACAATGTATGCGGTTCGACCTATGGCCCTGGTCACGAGGTAGGGGGGGGGGGGGGGGTTGAAGAACGAGAGTGTCTGGCGGAATTATAACCATATCCCCGTAGCGGAGAATGGATCAAGACATGGAGTTTAGATGATGTCACGATGTCACGATGTCACGATGTCACGATGTCACGATGTCACGATATCGCGGAGTAAACACGTGCTGAATAAGATAGAGTATGATCCCTTTTTGGCCGGGGGATATATATTATTAGAGGATCTTCAGGAGGCAGCGGGAGGGGGGAGGGAGGGGAGGCTGGAGCGGCTGGGGTTCGTGGTTGATCTGACGGGACGATGGGGTTCGTGAAACCTTTGATCATCGTAGCAGTGCATGGGCTGTGATAGCCTGTCAGAAGGTACCTAGGTAGCAGGAGGACAGGACAGACTATCTCTTCAGATAGTGCGTGAGATATGAGCATGGACAAATGCGGTTGTCGGCTCGTCTACCTCTCTAAGGCTGGTTGACGAATGTAAGAAGACGGTGAGTGCAGTCTGAAAGGTCCAGTGTGTGTGTGTGTGTTAGTCAAGAAGCGCCAAGGGATGGCGGCCGCCTCGGGTAGTTTGTGGTAGTTTAAACGACGTTGGAGGTGTCAGTGTCAGTGACGTCCCTCCCTCGGGCGGCCGCGTGCCAAGAGATGTAAGCCGGCCGCTCCCTCCCAAAAGAGAGGCTTTTCTTACCTACATTCAAGGTACACAGCATCTCCACTGTCCTCATCTACCGAAGTCTGGACCTCATTGGATCCTTTCCGAGTTGCGCATGGTCATTGCATCGCCTGTAGCTTTACACATGTATGAAAAAGAGGCGTTTGTATCAAGAATCCCATTGTTCTCGTATTCGCTCATGCTGGAAAGATGGAGATTGGTGAGAGTGAGCATGCAAGCCGCACGCGTGGTTGTTTGGTGTAGGTACTTTGGCTGGACGGAAGGGCCCTGCTGCTCGGGACTGGACGTCTTGTCTTGGTGTTGATTGACTCTTTGCATCGGCCCAATGACAGCACCCGTCTCGATACTTTCCAGGCAAAGACAGGGTCGGGTACGGATACCTTTGGTGATCAGTCGTCCATCGGGTACAGGGTGGTCCCACAAGTCTGGGAACCCGGCGGCCGCCCGCCGCCACGTTGCGGCGGGTTGAATTCCGCACACGGGCATCCAATCTCGTGGGTTTTTTAAGGGTGGGTTTTGGGTGGTTTGGGTGTGTTTCCCTTTTCTTTGACTTCCCTTAGGTTTGGAGTGTCTGGGTCCTCCAGGTGCCACTGTCATCTGTCATCGATCCGACTTAGCCATGTGCCGAGAAACACCATCATCTTCTCTCTCTCTCTCTCTCTCTTCCCAGGACCACTGGGCCACCCGAACACAATGTCTTTTGAAAACATCCAGTGTCCCCAGTGGGACACATCAGCCGCATGATCTGTTTTGTTTTTTTTGTCTCTGAGTCTGGGGAAGGGGGCTGAGCTGATGGGACGAGAGAAAAAAGACGAGAGAAACGTCCGAGCCGAGCTGCCTGCCTGCCTGCCTGCCTGCCTTGGTTTTAGTGGCAGCACAGAAACTTGTCCACTGACTCCCCTTGTTCTATGTACGCAGTAAGGTACTTTGTGTGTGTGTGTGTGTGTGTGTGTGTGTGTGCGTGCAAGAGAGTGAGGGAGAGGGCGGCGGCCGCCCATGCTTCTTCCCCCCATGCCATCCCAATCCATCCCGTGGCCCCCGACGACTTTTGTACGGATACAGAAGTACGAACACCTCAGTTCAGCCAAAAAAGGTGTGAGGTAAGATGTGCATGGGTCCCGTCCGCCTGATGAGATTTTCTCGTTAATTTTCAATTGGTGATTCCTTCCGAAGCTGGGGGAAAACAAAACTACGAGGTTGACCGCATCTTTTTGTTTATGAAGTGACATGGGACTACAAGTACTACACGAACTGGCATCAGTTCCTTCCTTACCCGCTCTCCGCCGCTTTCTTTTCATTGATTGGCCTTCATTTTCTTTCCGTCTTTCTGACGCTGTTCTTGATCAATCATCATCGTTGGTTTTCCATCTACTATACCCAAGGTACATATCCCTTCCTACTTTGAGGTCATCCCGAGTCTATCTCGTTTCCCTCAAATCTCCTACGACTTATCACTCAACTACCTGGCCTTCATTAAGAAACAACACCGTGGTAATGCCCCTTCTTGTTTCTTCCCACGGATACTAGACTTTCCTCACCTCCAAACCTGCTCTCCACGGCAATCCTTGCCCTGCTCCCCTTACCCAGAGCCCTGTCTTTTTACCGGCTCCAACCCTTTCCGGCAGGGAACCCAGCTCAAGGGGACACACTTACCTAAGGTAGTGCACACTACCTGCCTACACAGTATCTTACTGCGGTACAGATACTAGCATCCGTACGGATAGTGTGGGTAGTCGGGCTTCACCGTGCCATCACCGCCCACCACGCACAGCTACGCCTCGCGGAGCCAATCTCACCCGGCCGCCCTCTGCGCCTCCGTCCTCCGTCTCCGTGCCAAGCTGGCACTGCCTCCGAACCACGACGCATCGCTTCCTCTTCCACCGCATAACCTGGCAAAGGCCCCATTTCAATACCTCCCGGCCTTCGATCTACTGTTTTACCGCGAACTTGACTCTTCTATTCTCGATTTTCAGACCCGAATTCTTGGGACTACACACACTACCGACCTATCTCACCTACTCACCTCTCAACCGACTTCTCTACACCAAAGCTATTCCACTTTCTTGTTCTTGTCCCATCCCATATCCGCTTCGGTAATAGAGCTGCTTTTCACCCCCAAACTAAAGCTCAACAACCTTAAACTCACATCATATCTCAACCCTCGTACTCGTCTCCAGATACAGTCTTTCTGCACATGGGGTCCAATACCCGCATCTAAAGAGAGAACCTCCTCCCCCCGCCCACCAACACATCTATTCTCCTCTCTCTTCCCTCAACCATGTCAAAACGCACAACCTTCACCACAATCTCCCCTCTACCCCCCGGCATCACCCGCGATGCCGTCCTCGACTTCCTCCACAACCACCTCGAGATGATCGACCTCAACCCCCTCATCAAAGAACGCCACCTCATCCCGCCGCCACCCAACGCGCCCCCCGAAGAGCACGCCTGCGCGTGGTACTCCCTCACCGACGAAATCTCCTACCTGCCCGGCGGCCTGGCCACGGGAAACGTCAGCTACACATGCTGCTTCCACGACCTGCCCACCGGTCTGCAGACCCACTGCTACGCGCCCATGGGCCTCGAGATCCGCGACAAGTGGACCGTCGCCGGCTCCCTGCCGGGCGAGCCCGTCGAGCCCGTCGAGCTCGGCATCGGCGCCCCGCTCACGGGGCTCTACATCCGCGAGGACGTCGACATGCGCTGCAACGTCTTCACCTCGAGCTTCGTCAAGAAGACGCTCAAGAAGAGCCACGGCTTGCTGGTCGACCGCTTAAAGACAAAGGTCCACCGCACCGTCGTCGCCGCCGCGCATCAGCGGCACGGCAGTCAGAACTCACTACCGGGGTCGGTCAGGTCCGGCTCAAGCGGGCACAGCGCAGCGCAGCTGCAGCATCAACAAACGTACCCGAACCCGGCTTACACGAACGGCAACGCCCTCGGCAACGCCCTCGGCAACCAGATCAGTCTCCCGTATAGACCTTCATATCCCAATACCAACAACAACCCCGTAACCGCACCAACACCAGCGCCGACGCCCCCGGCCAGCGACGGCTCCCAGTCCTCGCAAAACGCGTACCCGGAACCCCTCCGTGTCCGCCGCACCACTAACCAAACCGGCTCGACGTTTTCTCATCAACACCAACATCAACATCAGCAGAAGCCGTCGTGGCCGGATATCAAATCGCAACCGTCCGCCGCCAACGGGTACGCGCACGCCAACTTCTTGTCCGGTCATAACAAGGCCTACGACACGAAACCTTTGCCTCCGTCGCCGTACGCGGGTGGGAGAGCGGGAGGTGCCGGCGGTGATGATTTTGGTCAGCAGCAGCACCAGCGGAATGGGTGTCAGCAGAACAGTGGCGCAACGCTGCAAGGGCCCTTTGTCGCTGAGCTGGAGTGAGTGAGATTTCGGGAGTGAGCGGTGGCGGAGTGTGCCCTTTGTGTCACAGTCTTTTGTTTCCCGTCGTTTCGGCCTAAGGGTCTTTTTTGTGTTGGTTATATAAACTCGATACCCCATATCTTATTATTCATTTTTGGCAATTTATCAAAGACACATATACTAGTACATGAGAACTTCCTTCGTTGTAAGTGGGATCTGGATGTCTTGTGTAGTACGGGTGAGGCGCAGGTGACGTCCTGATGTGGCAAGGTTGGTGAAGTTGACTAAGATCAAGTCTTACCTGAGGCCGAGGCTGAGTTTCTTCTCGTCTTTCAAATACTATTGATTACCAGCTTCATCTGCATCACCAAAAGGCGAAATCTTAACTCTTACGCACCCGTTACTGTGCAAGTTTCATTGGGTGAAAGCCGCAATCACGCAAAATGTATCGCTCGTCGAAGGAAACCTCATATTTCAACTCGCAGGCTTCCTATGGCAACCGTTTTCTCAAAATCACTCAAACTGTTGTCAGATGATACACGTACTTATGAGAACCACATTTTTCTCAGCTCCCCTTCTCCCTTCTGGACGACTTCCTTCTCAACATAACTTTCCTCGTATGAGTTTGACTCTCTCTGTGTGTCTGGAGCCCTGCCACGGGCACCACTCCACTCTCATCTTCCCGGCTTTGAAGGAACCCCCCGAAAGTGGTGTCTAAATTGCGAGTTGTGAAAACTTGCTGATAGAGAGTATGGCTTGCCCTCTACGTGGGTAGAGCTTTGTAAGAAGAAGAAGAAGAAGAAGAAGAGATGAATGCTTGAAGCGATCATTGCCTAAGGTAGCTTTGCGCTGATGAACTGTAATCTATGTTGTTGGCGTTCTAGGCTATAAAAACGCACGCAATTCGTTTTGCTCCTCTTCATCCAGGTGAAAGTTTTGCAACTCGGCGATGCTCCATCGGTGAGAATTACATGAATAAACCTCATCCAATACAGCGAAAAGAGAAGAGCATCATTATTACTGAGCTGAGAAATGTGACAAAACCCTCAGTTTGGCAGATTAAGACCTGGTCACTGTATACGCATGCGATGAGTTTGACTGCGGCAATTGAAAAGCGCCAGGAAACCTTTGAAATGGCAAATTGGTTTTTATCTCACAATCAAATGGAATTTTTAAGATGACATGTGTATATGGAAGATGAGTGAGTGTATGGGCACCCAAAAACGGGCACCCAAAAAAAATACAATGTTGGACTGACATGGTGATACATGGCGACCAAAAGAGATGCACCTTTTAACAAACACCGTCCGTTGTAGTCGATGGCCGAGCGGTACGATTCTTGCCTTTGGTGGTGGAAGCGTATGTTGGCTCACGGTCCTACATAATGCCATTGATAGTTTGTTTTTTGGTGGCATCGTTCTCCATAGTAATTTTGGTGATGGGCGATGTTTGTGATGTGATACCTGCGTATTCACACATGTACCTTTTTCTACGGAATACGATGATGCGCTCTGGAGGTTGCGAGTTCGAATTTCGTTATGTCTTTCATATTTTTGGCGTCTTGAGTATGTTCCATGCTGCGCGGGCATGGGGTTTTGTTAGTCTCGTAATGGAATGTAGGTAAGACGTCTCTCTTGACTCTTGAGGAAGCGCGGTCATGAGGTTGCTTTTTGGTATGTCCAATCACGGCCGGAACACATCCATTCCTTCGACGTGCGTGCGGGTTACTTCGAACCAATGTGTTGAAAAGTCTGGCTGCCTCCTACTCGAAAGATGAATAGACCCCGAATCTCGCACTATAAGAACGAGTCGTCTCCAACGCTTCTCGCGCTTAATGCTCACCCGTAAAGATCATGTGGCCAGATAACAATTCAGCAAGGAAAAATTTTGATTGGCATAGTTCCCGATCTAGAACCACCTTGAAGGGGAGCAACCATCGCCCGCGAATGACTTTTCCGTCCACGTCTGCCTGGCAGGCTGCCATCCAAGCCTTGCCTTGTGCTGCCTGCTAAAGCCGGACGCCCGCCCCGGCCCCGCTTTTCCCGGGCCGAGACCCTGAACGACGCAAATGCCCCCCCGCGCCAGCCCGTATAAGCCTGGACCACCGCCACCGTTGCTAGCCTCGGGCGAAGCAAACAAACAGTCAGCTCCCACCGGTCCTCCCCAACCACGGCCAGAACAAGGTGTGGCACGAGGGGAAGGGGGGTAAGATGATGCCGAATGGAGTAAAAAGAGAACATGCACTTGTGACCAACATGTTTCTCCACATCCCACTTTCCAGACCCCAATTTGGGGGGGCTTAGATACGTTGTGACTAATCGCCCTGGTTTTATGTCGATCCCGGGGTCCTGGTTCTGGTAATCCCGCCGAGCCCGTCCAACGACGCTCCAACGACGCTCCGCGGTCAACCAGCCTGCCGGAACAAGAACAGAACTGCCAGAATAACTTAGCACATGCGACCATACCCACTGGAGAACTCGGGATCCCGTCCGCTCTCCCATTGATAAACCAGCGAGGGCCAGAGTAGTAGTCGGGTCGGAGACGACCGGCGAATGCCTGGTGTTGCATGTTTTATTTTTGATGGAGTTTTGTCCATGGTTATGGTCTTTTGGTAACTCTCGGGACATGGAAGTAAGAGGGTGTTGGTGTTGTGTGAGTGTGTATGTGGGAGAGAGAGTGTGTGTGATAGTGATAGTGATAGTGGAAGTGTGTGTGTGTGTGTGGGTGTGGAAACAGCCAGTCATCCATCACCGTGCCACCGCCCGAGGCACAGGAAGGAAGAGAGAGTGGAGGAGCCGGGGATCGGGGAGCCCTCAGCCCCGGTCCGAAGGTAACTCTACCGCGGACCTGGAACCGGATTCTTCAACAAGACCGAACAAGTCTCAGCCCTATGGGCTTTGGGGGCCGCGAATTGATTGGTCTGGGTGCGTTTGCGAACCAACAAGCGTCTGCTGTGCAGTTCCTCAATGGCGATAGGGCTGAGTTGCGTGGGGGCACTAGGGCGGGTTTCCGGTGGGCTACGGCGATAGCCTAGTCTCCTTCGATGGGACGCCTTATGGGCAGTGTATCGGTAGTTTTTTTCCTTCGTGTTGGAGGGGGAGAAGCTTTTCACATCAGGTTTTTTTTGGCCTCTATCCCTTGTCTCCGGAGTGAGAAGAGGCCCCGTTTTCACATCCGGATTAGGAAGTGATTGTGTGCCGATATGATGACCGTTATCAAGTCTGAAAGTGACAAGTTGGTTCGGATGTGATATCGTGTACCTTGGATGACATCAAGTTCTAGGCTTCCTCTCTGTCTTTGCTGAGCCTCGTGACTCGAAAGCCTCTTGGTAGTACGGCTTAGCCCCTCGAAGGATGGCTATAAAGCTCTCAGTTCCAAGTAGTGATCAGGTAAACATTTGAAGCCTAAGACATTAAGTCAAATCCTCCTGCTCTCTCTTGTCCAAAGCAACCTCTTCTTCCCTTCAAAGAGTTCAATTACACTATCATCCAGTCATATTACTCCAGAGTCCAGACAACTGGATCTACGTTGGCAAGCCGTAAATCATGGCGTCCCCAATCACTGAGAAACATACCACCCAACACGCCACCATTCAAATACCAGATTTCCTAGCAGACTGGCGCCAACACCCAAGCTGGCCGTCCCCTTATCCCCCAAACAACCACCCAGACTCCCAGTACATCAAGGCCGAATCCGAAAGCTGGCTGCGAGGCTACTGCTACAGCAACGCCAAGCCAAACTCCATCAACAAGGGCATCAACGAACTCTTCATCTCCAAGATCATCGCCGGCGACTTCCCCGAGATAGCATGCATAATCTACGCCCACCAGCCCACGCGCCACGTCCTCCTCGCCGCGCTCGTCATGCTCCACTTCTTCGTCATTGACGAGTTCACGGACAACGTGGACGACACGGAGGAGGGCGAGGCCCAGGTGCGGAGGCAATCTGCCGCCATGGTCCGCGCGTTTCGGCACCCGGAGGAGATTGGGCAAGATCGGGACGGAGACGAGGATGACGAGGTGTGGGTGGGCGTCCGCATGGCAGCCGACATCGCGACCCGCTACCGCAGCGACGCCGTGGGCGGCACGCTCGACTCGTGGAACTTCTTCGTGGACAGTTTCGCAGACTACCTCGACGGCGTGGGCGACGAGGTGGCGCTCCGGAGAACGGGGCCGAACGGGGAGGTGGGGGGACACAACTGCGTGCCGAGCCGGGAGAGGTACATCGCCGTCCGGCGCCGGACTATCGGTGTTCTCCCGGGCATGGCGCTCCTCCTCATCGACCGCGCCATCCGCCCCAACTTTTTGCAGGTTCCCGCGGTGGACTCGCTGTTGGGTCTCTGCGTCGACATCATCATCAACCAAAACGACATTTATAGTTTTGATAAAGAGCAGGCCAAGGGCGAGGACGGACATAATGGAGTGAGGGTCCTCATGGAGGAGGACGGGGTAGGTGCGCAAGAGGCCATGACGAAGCTGGGCAAGGAGACTAGTGATCTCGTGAAGAAGTTTTTGGAAGTTTGCGAGGGGCTACCGATGTTGGAGGACGAGGTTGATGATGTGAATTTGAGGATCTTGCGGGACGGGTGCGTTTCGTGGATTTTGGGGATGGAGGTTTGGTCTACGCTTGTGACCAAGAGGTATGGGATGCAGAGATTGGATGGAGAGAGGAGGTATACGCCTACACCAAAGAAAGGGAAGACGCAGCAAAAGGAGCAAGAAAAACAGCAGCAGCAGCAGGGGTCTCAGCTAGCTCGTAAGGGATTGATGAGTTTGATGAGGGAGTTGCCGGGGGATTTGTTGTCTCTGCTGAGGAGGATTTTCGGTATGTAACGATTTGTTGTTGTTAGTCGGTCTGGGGTTGGGGCGTAAAAGTATCTCCGTTCAGGGTGGTCTAGTGTATATTATCTTAGTCAAATAGGCAATCTTTTGAAGAATTAGTTCCCGAGGCGGTGACAAAAGTGCCATGTTGAACAGGCCTTACTCTGGTTCAATAACCGACTTTTGGCTCATTTCAGGTTGTAATGACCTTCAAGGAGAGAAATACGGTGAGGAAAGAGTGGCTTGTAGAATGTACAAGCCTTCTTTGTCCGGTAGACGTCTAAATAGGACTGTTTTCTGCTGAGAGAGAGACTCGACTGGCTTCGCTTCCGCGCGTTAAGACGCATACCCTAGCGCCATGTTGGTTCGGCGGCGCGCCGCAGTAGTCCTCCACATATCTTCAGTTACCCAGTGCAATAAAAAGAGGCCGTGCCTACTTTCCAAGTTTCATTACTGACTTTTCTCGTGGGTTGTTGGTCGACGGGCGCTTAAAGCCTAGCTCTGACCAGTTGCATGTGGTGACGCCGGCCCGGAAAAGCGGGGATCTGACCGTTGCTTCCCCGGCCGCCGACTTCAGCGCTTATTATGGGAATTACTGTAGGCTCATTCTGATTTCTTTGGCTTCTGCCGTGTTTCTTGGTGATGTGAGATGTATGAGTTTCCCACCTGTATTTAACTCGGCACTTCGTTCAGTCACTACCTCTGAGACTCGAAACCTCGTTTGCCTCGGCATACATCAAAGCCAGCCGCGATTCGGTACCATGGAAGAGAAAACGACGAATGCACAAAACCCTTTGCTCAAACTAGAGCTTTTGAAGAACTTGGATCTCTCGGATATTGAAGTTCAAGTTCTTGATATTCTAGCCTACGACGTTCGAGCGACCAGTTGGGAGACCGCTTCAGAGGCTGCATTCTACTTGGACGCTCTGTGCCCTCCTCTAGAACAGCGCGAAGAGGCAGAAAACTATTTCTATGTCATTTGGAGCCTCGTAACATATATTGCAACCAGTTATGATGTGACAAAAGAGACGCAAACTCATCTCGTCAACACCCTGTCAGCATTGCAGCAATGTGCAAAAGGTGAAATCGACATCTGGGGTGTAAGTGTATTTCGCTAACGAGCACTCAAAATTGGACCACAAACGACTGATCATCTCAAACTTGACAGAACGAAGAAGACAGACAACGCGTTTGGATAGATCTGCCAATGTTTTACATGGCCGCTGGGGCTTCTATTAGTGGTAAGTTGCAATTGAACCACTGTCGTCCCTCATGAAGAGGGACTAGGCTGCGTGCGGACCTGAAGGCCTGACGCGAAATAAGACATAACCCAAGAAGCGACAACAGAGAGTTTCACCCCAAAAGACGCACAAGAATGGCGCAACATCAACAGGTTCGGCGCTATGTTACTAGGAAAGGGCGTCTTGGGCCTTCACACGCAAGCAATGTACGCATTGCGTTCGGCGCTTGAGGAGGAGCCGAGCCCCATTCCGGCGGTCGCAGAGTGCCGGCTGCGCGTCGCCTGTGAATGGATTCTTCAAGGCGCGAGGCCTCTCCTCGGGTGGGCGCGGGAGAACGTTGGCTATTCCGAGATGCCAGAGTACGAGAGGGACTTAACGGAGGAAGCGATAGCATATCAGGGGGTCCTGTACGAGGGTCCGCCCATTATGTGTCTCCAGCGGTGGGGATTTTGGATGGATCGGCTCGAGTGGCTTGCGAAAAGTGATGATTCTGGGCTGGTTGAGGAGACGAGGGCGGAGATGCTTGAGGCGTTTGGGGTTATGAAGGAGGTTGAAGGGCGGATAGGACATACCCTGTGACGAAGCGGCAATATGCCCAGCTTCCTACCCCAGGTATCGTTGAAATTCCATTATAGACTCATAACACGGTTCAGACGCACGAAAGACAATCATAGACAACTGAGCAAAAGATTATGAAGTCGATCGAGAGCCTCGAAATCCATACCTCGCCCTTGCTTTCCAACCATCGCTCAACTTACCGCCCATTGTCTTGACACTGCCCAGAAAAGACCAAGGGTGACTAAACCATCTGCAAGTGACCTCAGGGATGGGTAATTAGGTCTTCCGAGTCCGAGAATCTACTGAGGAGGAATATGACATGAATTTGGCCTCTGGAGAAAAGCACTACACGGTTACGAGGAGTGCCATACCCAACATATCCCAATTCACAGACATTTCACCAGACAAAACAAGAAGCATCATGGGCCTAGATATGACACACACACAACAAAAGTGATAATTCTATAAAGTCTAGAAAAAATAAGGATAAAGTATATAAAGGCGTATCAAAGAAAATACACCTAAATTAGGATGATAACGATGATGATGGCGGTGATAAGGATGCAGAGTGATAATGATGCTGAAAGTGGGTTAATAATACCAATCGAAACCCCTTTTCGATCCTCCCTTTCCCCCCCTTGTGACAGAACCCAGCAATAAAACAAGATTCTAACAAAGGAGATCCTTCATTTCGTCCCCTTTTCATCCACTGGAGCAGTGTCCATCCCGCCTCCTTTCCCCCAGTCTTTCACCCGGGTTCTAGCGGGATACTGCCATAAGAAATGCTGCTGCTGTCTCTTCCAAACCACTCCACTCTCTCTCTCTCTCCTTCTTCGTCTAATTTTCCCCAATGCAAGGTTCAGAAGTATCCTCATCTCTGGGCGTAATCGGCGTAATGCAATGACGGGGCGTGATAACAATGATGATGATGAACAACAAAACAAGAAACAAACACACACACTAAAACAATAACGATATTGGATCCACACACTTTTCCACGACTTGGATCAGCGGAGTTCCAGACCTCCCATGGATTCCAGAGCCGCACAAGTCCTCTTTTTCACTACCCGTCCGCAAGGAAGAGATGACGATTGTAAGAAGAAAAGAAAGGGCCCTTCAACTCCAGATGAAGAAGACGGAAAAGAAACCTAAAGGTGCAGGAGTGCAGAAGGCGCAGGCGAATCTGGCTTCACTTCACCCCTCCCTCTAGTCTCTACCACTCCAACAACAACAGAGTCTCTGGGTTTCCTCCCCTATCCGCTTTGGAAGTCTCCCCCCATTACCAAAACGGGTTTGAAAAAAGAAGAAGAGTAGTGCCATGTCTGGTCTCCAAGGAGGAGAGGAAAAAAAGCCATGGAAAGATGGGGTTGTTGCAACCAAAAGGGGAAAAAGCCCCTTTACAGAGCCAAAACGGCAACGACACCGGCAACGAGAGCAACACCAGCAGCAGCGGCGTTCTTCTCGGCGCCGGCGACGACGACGGTGGTAGGCTTGGTGCCGTTGGTGCCAGCGGTGCCGGTGGCGGGGCAGTTGGGGCTGCCGGGGCAGACGAGGGCGCCGGTCTGGCTGGGGGTAGCACCGCCAGCGCCGCCAGCACCGCCGGAAGCAGCGGGAGGGCAGTTGGGGCTACCGGGGCAGACGACGCCAGCGGAGCCGGTCTGCGCGGGCGGGAGGACGGATCCCGAGGCGCCGGGCGGGCAGTTGGGGCTGCCGGGGCAGGTGATGAGGCCGGTCTGGGTGGGGACGGCGGGGGGCACGTCGGTCTGGGCGGGCGGGGCGGGGACGACGTAGCCGGTTGCGTGGGCGCACTCGGAGCACTGGTTGGTGGTCTTTGGAGTACGTGTTAGCCAAGGCTCAAGGGTTGAAGATATGGGGAAAAATGAGAAAGGGTAACTCACGTAGGTCTGGGTGCAGGGGCAGTCGGGGATGATGAAGGTGGTGGGCTGCTCAATGGTGTAGGTGCGGTTGTTGAAGCAGAGGGTGGTGGGCTGGGGGCAGTAGGTCGTGACGGCGTCCCAGACCTTGGTGATGGTGTAGGTGCCGTTGGTGTAGACGTGCTCGTAGGCCGAGGCCGTGCCGGCGACGAGGGCGAGGGAGACGAGGGCGGATTGGATCTGCATTTTGTCGGTTGGTTGGTTGATTGGTGTAGTGTGTGTGTGTGTGAGTGAGTTGAAGTTGTTGATTATTGTCGGTTATCGAGTTACTTGCTGAGCGAGTGAGTGTCGAGGGAGCGTGAGGGATTGTCCGGAGAGCAAACAGAGCTGGTTAATGATTGTTTGAAGTTTTTGGTTTTCTTGTTAAGGAGAGTGAGTTGCAATGTTTTGGATTTTCTTTTCAAGAGAGTGACTGAGGCCAATTGAAGCAAATAAAACGAAAGGGGGGGAACCTCCGAACAAACGAAAGAGTTCTTGGATGGATGTATGTGAGATGTGTGTGTGTGTGAGGGATGAAAGGGAAAGAGAGGTGTCACAAGAAACGGTTCAAGAGCCTCCTTCTTATGTCAATCTCATGCCGACACAAACATCCTGTTAAAACACACCAAAATAAACCAAAGATATCTGGATATCCACCGGAACGGCACGCTCAGGGGTTGGCGATACCCAGACAAGCTGACGAAAAGGCTTAGCCTTGCACGACGGAGGAAAGGGATAGGAAATGCTAAGCCGGGAACCAACAAAATTGTCTCAGGAACACGACGACTACTTCCCACCTCTCCACTCGAAAAAAGGAGCCTCCGGTTCCTCTGGAACACGGCAAGATTGGACGTTGTGAATTTTGGTTCTTCGAGACCAATGAGAAGCTCCGGACTCGCGGCCGGGAATGTTGGGGGAGTCGTCCCGGGCCCGTGTTTGTTGTGGTCCGTTGAGCTGCCAAGAATGTTTCCACCGGCCGCCGGTAATGTGGCGCATTCCAACATTTCAGGTCCAGAAGGGAAGAAAGTCGGCAAAGACGGAAACTAAAGGTAGATGGGACGAATGAGTTGACAAACACATGGTGGGCCTAGGAGTAAACACACCTTCCTGTCTCGACTCCTTTCTCCCATCCTATTTCGAGCTCTGCAGATTTCATCATTGAAGCATTCCCATCACACAGGGGACATGAGCATGCGAGCACCGGCATGGCAAGTTTTGTGGTACCGCTTTCATATGCTTTCCTCTCATTCGGAGGCGAGTTGAAAAGGTCGAGCGTTGTGCGCCCCCACTCGGTTCGTGGAGCTCTGAGATATGTACAGTTGGGCCAGAATTGCTCCTCGACCGCTTGTCTCCCTTTTTGTCCTCCCCCTTATCCCACAGCAAGTTACTCGCTTTGTGATGTCCACACGACATCCACTTCCGGCATACCAATTGGCAGCGGAATCGCCCTCGTCCTCCACTCTTGTGACGAACAAAATCGTTCATCCGTCGCCGTAAGCTCGTCTCGGGGGTCGTGGTTGAGACTGCGCTCTTTCATGCCGTCCTTCTATGATCGTCCGCCCCACCCAGCCAGTTATGATTGAAACAAAATGAGAAATTAGAAGAGAAGAAAAAAAACCAAAAAACGGAGGAATCAAAAAAGTCGAGCCCGCATGTGATGATGACGGCGTAGTCATGCGCAAGCGGAGTCAGTTTCGCCGACTCAAGGGGTCTCCCTCTAAGAATAGTTCCATCCCCAACGCCTTCATTTCCAAAATAATCAAGATGGCGGCCAAGATCAGTCCCGGTTGGGGGCTACTCTGTTGGAAAAAACTGAAAAATCTTGCCCACCGCCCGTCGATGAATCAAAGACCATCCCACCACGTATGCACAAGATTATGGTTCGAGGAAAGTGCCGAGAATTGCCAAACGGCCTGCGTGTGCCAGTATCGATGGAATCGATCCTAGGAACGCGATCGGTCTTGTTGTGACGAGATTGTGCAAGAAAAAAAATGCCGTCTCATATTGAGTTTGGGGGAGCAGAGTTGCGTAATATCAAAAATTCCGTTCATTTGCGGTTCGATCGGCTCGTGCTTCGCTCCAAGCCGCGGCCGCCGCCAGTGACTGAGTCGAAATCGTAGTTCTTCAGGGTGTGTTCGTACTTGGGGCTCCTCAGGAATTTGGGAACCGAGTCCTGCAAAAACAAGTTGGGTTAGTATGAAGATCCTCACATTCCACGGTGCATCAGTCGGAACAATAAACATACGCTTGCCATCAGTTTAAAAACTGCGTTCTGGGCATCTTCAAACAAAGACATGACCTCTTGCAAAGTGTCGATCATGGCTACGTCCTGTCCAACAGCCTTGGTCATTCGAGTCGCCAGGTTGTTGCGAAGCTGATGGTCAATGTTCAACTCGCAGGGAGAGCCGGGGGCGAGGAATGCATTATAAATCCCGTACGCCTGGGCCATGATCTCCTTGATGCCGTCCATTGAGCTCGCGTTGGGGTTCTTCTGCGCGACCCGAATCGCCTGCCGGCAGCTTCGAACAAAGTCGTCGACGTCGAGGTAAAAGGAAAGATTCTCCTCGCAATGTGTTTCGCGTAGGTTTTCTCTGAAGAGCAGACGAAGGGCCGCATCGTTGAGAATCTTGTCGAGCCGTTGGGTGTTGGAGTCTCGCGCGATAGCGTTACGAGAGGGTGTGACGACCTCGCTTTCTGACGTTCTTCCCCGCGAACCGAGACCGTTGATCAGATCCTTGCCCTTTGCCGTCAATTGGTAGATGGCATGCTTTGTGGGCTGGAACAGGTTGTTGCTGGGATATTGTGCCATATGAGCACGGTCTTGTACCACGGGCTCCATCAAGTCGTACTCCACGAACAGGGACGCGATGTCGTACGTCTCCCGCCTGTCTACGGTCGTGCAGCAGTCCATCAACCAATCAGTGGCAGCCTTGCCAGTAAAGGTATCTTTGTACGTCTTGCCGTTCACCTTGCGCTCGCTAGCCATCTTGACACCAGTCAAGCCATCCTTGTAGTCGCTAAGTGAGTCCGAATCGGCTGAGCTGACGCTCGATTTGACATTGGGACCGTGTGTTCCAATGAATCTCCTGAAAATGACCTCAATCGTGCCGCGATCCGTGATGAGCTTGTCCGTCTGACCGTCCCGCTCGAGAATGACGAGTTGCGACAGTGTTGCGCCGACCAAGTCGGATATCGACTTTTGCTGGATGCCGTTACGTGAGCAGAAGCGATCCAGCACGGTGACGCCCTTGGGCGTCAATTGCCACACGGAACCCTTCATGTTGTACACCTGTTGGTACTTTCCATCGGCCGACTCGATGAATCTCGCTTCGAGGAACTTTTGGCAGATGGAGCGTGCCATATCCTTGGCCATGGAGAAAGTCGTCGTTGTGGTCGTCGTAACTATCCTGGAGGGGTCTTTGGGGTCGGGCATACGGTTGGATTGAGAAAACTTGAGAGACCCCAAGTTGTTGATCGCATCTTCGGATAAGAACGTGTTCTCCACACGTGTTAAGCGTACTCGGTGTGCAGACAAAGGCAAAAGGCTGACAATCAGTGTTGAGTAGAGATCCTTGAAGTCCTGTCGTTGTTCCACGTTAGCCATCTGTGAACCGCGGGGTTCGATCGAAGCGACCGGGAATGCGACCGGGGCACTGGATGCGCGATTCTTGTCGAGCAGGCCAGGAATTGGGAGAAATGGGACTGACCTTTGTGAATGGCCGGTCATCATCCGTCATGCGGAGAAGCCGCGAGGAGGTTTGGTGCATCTTGCTTTCGATACTCGGCAATCGAATGGGAAGGGGCCTGGTCGGATCGGTCTCGCTATATGGCTGAGAGGGGATATCCTGTACCAGCGACACCTGGCTTGGATACTTGCCCTCTATGTTGTTCAGGGTGCTGCTGGAAGAGGACGAGTAATTGGAGGGGCTCGTATATCGTGGGTATTTGTCTTGAGAACCCAGATTGGCAGAGTAGTCGGAGGCAGAGTCGGGGGTCAAAGAGGCGCGGCCCAATGCGGAACTGGAGGCGCGATGGCGGACAGACTGGTCCGAGGAGAAGGTAGCGAGTGCAGATTGGGTCTTGTCAAAGGCAGCAGCAGCGAAGCCGAAGATTCCACCAGAACGCTGAAGTTTGTAGAGGGAACTGGTAGAAGGCGAGTGGTGATGAGAGCGATAATACGGACGGTTCACCGAGGGCGCCTGTTGTTGTTGGAGTTGCTGGTGTTGTTGAGCGTGGTAGGGATCGGTCGATGATGATGTAGTGGTGGTGGCAGTGGTAGTTGCAGCAGCAGCAGCAGAATGAGGAGGAGTGCTGGAAGTGGTGGTGGTGGTGCCGGTGCTGGTGCTGGTGGTAGTAGCGGTGGATCGTGGATTAGCACTGGTAGGGTTGGGGTTGGCTTTGTGTGTGAGAGGTTGAGAGCTGGCCTCGTTTGACAATGGCTCGTGGTTCGGAGGTCGGGATGTCTTGGAGACAGCGGCCATCTAATGGGAGGAAGAGGGTTAGAAGAGGCGCGGAAGGCAAGACGGGTGTTCAAATAAAAGGCACGGCGCAGAAAATGGAGAAGGGAAAAAAAACTGAAGAGAAAGCGGGTGGTTTGGTGAGGCAGGGCGTGAAGGAGGAGAAGGAGAGGAGGTGTGTGGTAGTGGTAGTGGTGGAGGAGAAGGAGAATAAGGGACAAGGGCTGCGAATGGAGCGAGGAGGGAAAAAAAAGGTACTTGGCCGAGACGAGGTACAGTACGGAGTACACAGGCCTCAAGGGGTTGATGTACATGTAGACGGCGGAACCCTGTAAGTAAAAGGTACAAGGGGGGGCAGGCTAGTGGGAGTGGGAAGAGCGTGGGAGTGAGACTTCTGGCTGACAAGGGGAGTGGGGGAGTGCAAAGTAGGTGGGAGGAGGAGGGTAAGGTACGGGAGTACTTGTGGACTTTCCAAGCTTGGCCTGACGGACGCTCCACGCTACGGCTACCACAAGCAGAGAGAATGGTAGAGCGGGCGGTAGGTAGGTAGGTGGGCAGAAGAACCAAGGCACCTTCAAGTACCCAAGTCAGGGCCAGCAAGAGAGCAGAGCAGGGCAGAGCAGAGCAGAGCCCAGGGCAGTAGTTGTTTGAACCACCTCACCTCGACCACAATTGAGTGGATGAAGATGGGAGTGCGGAGTAGTGTAGGTAGGTAAGGTAATTAGGGGGGAACTGGAAAGGGAAGGGGAAAAGGAAGAAGGGATGAGATGCCGATGATGAAGCGAAAGCCAAAAAGCGAGATGATGATGGGATTAGACAGGCAGTCAAAGCCCAGGAACTCCAGAAAATGAGGCCGAGAGCACCCATACACAGAGAGACAAGAGAATGTCGGACATCGCGAACAAGGCTCTCTTTCTCTCCCTTCTCTCTATCCACGCCACGCCACACTGGACTTTGCTGCTTGAATGAGGCTTCCGCCGGGGACTTGCTCACCTGCTGCTGGGAGTAGGGGGACCACCCACGCGTGGGAAACAGGCTGATTTACAAAAATAACGGGGGGTGGTTATTTCTCTCCCAGGACCACGGGACGAGAGGGTAATTCGCACTAGGTATAGGGTAGGTGTGGTATGTACTCGGATGATGAAAATGGTTCAACAAGATTGGATTTAAAGGGAAAAGGGAACGAAAAGCTCGAGACTTTGGTTAAGGACGGATGATGACTGGGAAGAACGTGGATGGGGGAGATTTGAGAAATGCGGGCTACGGATATGACCGTCGTGCCTGTGCGCTGCCGCAGGGTAACTAAGGTAGGTAGGTAATAGGTAAAGGTACGGGAGATACTGACTTGACTGAAGCTGCAAGTATGTGTACGATGATCCAAACAATTCGATCTAATTTTTTTGTGGCCAGAGAGAGTCCAGGCGTGACGTGATAGTCAAAGCTATTCGTCTCTGGATGGCCACCGGCGGACTGGACTGCGGGCTTGGAGGATTCTGTCTGCAGATTTTCAAGCCGCGCTTGGTGACATGTGTGTTATGTGTGCCAGCCCAGTGTGTAGTGGAACGGACGGGGCGGGCGGCGCGGGCGGGCGCGGACGACGGATGACTTTTTGGCGACGGTGATGTGCGAAAAGGACGACGGCGGATCAAGGGGACAACCGAGGCGAGCAGGAGCAGGAGCAGGAGCAGGAGACGGCCCCTCAGAAAGAAGGCCGACGAAGTAAAGTGGACGATGCGGATGATGCGCGCGTGTAGGCAGGCAGGTATGTGTGTGAGAGTCTGAGAGATGAGACGGGAATAAGAGGTGTAGCAAATGGTAATAAGCCAGCCTAGCAACCCGATCCAAGCACCTTCAATGTAGGTACGAATACCGCAGAGAGGAGAACGCGAGGGATTGGGATTGGTGTATGGATAGTGACAAGTTAAGCGTGGTGGCTGACGCTGGGATGGAGTACTCCGTAGATGGGAAACGAGGGCGTTGATCTGGCGAGTGCCCTCTCTCCTTTTTTCCCAGGTTGAGGTTTTACGGAAGTGCTGGGTCAAGGTCAAGGTGCAGTAGGTAAGGTAAGGTAAGGCCAGCCAATGTCTCCGTAGTATAGGTAGCCTGTAGGTAGGTAATAGTCGGTATCCGTAGTTCCAGGTCCAAGGTGTGAGAATGGGTGAGGTCTGAGGTGTGGACGGTAAGGCCAGGCCCGGGGTGGGGAAAAAGGGACTATCTCCGTAAGAAAGGAGACGATGCGGGAAGAGCGAAGACTTGAGACCGAGGCTCAGCAACGTGAGACTTGACGGTTCCCCCCTTCTCTTTGGTTTTAGGGGTTTGCGCTTGGCTGGTGTGCGCCGTGGTGTGTGGATGGAGGGGGGAAAATAATGCGCCTTTGGTACGGAGTATGGTAGCCAAGTATGGGATGTGCTGGTGGTAAGAGGCTAGAGCAGGACCGGAATAGGGTCCTGTTTGATATTTTGCGACTATGCCGGCCCCGTACGATATAGGACGGGCAGTCAGCGGTAGTTCGATTAGACTGAAAATTGGCTTGCGGGTTGTGTGAACTAATTTTCCCCTCGCTCTCTTTCTCAATCTCTCTTGGGTTACTCTCTCGTCTGGGTCTGCGTCTGGGTCTGCATGCCCCTAGGTTCTCGTAGGATTCGGGAAAGGTAAGCCGAGAAAGAAGAAAAATACGCCGTAGGGAGTAACGCAGTACAAAAAAAAAAAAACGGGAAAAATGAAATAAAACCGGGGTGTGGAACTCGTGGAGGCAATTTTGGCGTTTGACTGATGGATCGATGGATTGATCTAGAGTCCAAAAGTACGGGATACTAGCTGGCTTAGCTGGGATAGGAAAGATTGGGTCAAGAGAGAGTGAGAGAGTGTGTTTCCCCCCTTGGTCGGAACTTGTCCAGCAACCAGTCCCACGAACAGGCGAAAGAAAGAGTGGACGAAACGTGATGAAGCGACAAGACTAAGAAAATCCCAGGACGAGAAGTCAGCCAGGCCGGCGCAGGTTCAAACATGAACCAGGGGCAAGGGAAAAAGGGAAGCCAGCGAACCCGATCTTTTTTAGGGGCGAGCCACGGCAGCTGACGGGCGAGAGAGAAGTAGGGAATGATGTGCAGGACGGAACAGGAATAGGAGCAGGAGTACTCCGTATGTACGGAGTAGAGTTAAAAGCAGAGAGGTGAAAGTCTGGGGGGGAAATGCCATACAACGTGTTTTATTCTTATTTTGCCCAACTTTCTTGTTTCGCTCTTTTGTGGCAGACCCGACACGTTTTGTCGTGCTCATAGATTTCTTTCTTTGATACTCTAATGCAACGCTCTGTATCCGTATACATACTTGCTGCCGTGTGAGTGAGTGAACCGGGTGGGCCATTGGAACGGGCTGTCTGTCTGCATTTCTCATTCGATAGAACCATACTTGTAGCCATGCAAGGTAGGCTCTTCGCCAACGCAAACCAAACGACGGGAGCCATGCCGTGTGGCCAGCCATGCCGCAACCCCCCTTCGCGGATGAATAGAGCTCGTTGCTGCCACGAGGCAGATTGATAATGGTGGTGCCGTCTGCATGCATGTCCCTCCGTGGTCGTCTCTCACCGGCCGCTGTCCATCGTCCGCTAACCCACTGTTCCTGTAGGGTACCTTTTTTTTTCTTGTTTATTAACCCGATGATGAGGCCTTGGTACTGCGAGGTTTGTTTCTCTGAGTTGTTTCCAGAACTTCCATTGCCCGTCGGAAAATTGTCTTTCCCTAACGATTTACGAGGTGGAGCCATACACTGTCGTCATTGTATCTGAACGGTTTCTAGTTTCCATCCGTAATAAAGGTTTTGTATCCGTATCGCACCGTACAGAGGTGAGAGCGACAAGGTACGGAGTATGAATGGAGCGGTTGAGAGAGATATCCACCACCAAGTCCCGCTGGACGGCGGCCTATTGCAGTGGAAAAAGGTGTCGTGTGGGGACCCTGCCCCCAATGGAAGGACTCCATTCCACCGCACTCCCCCCTCTGGAAAGCACACATGCCGTGGCTCCTTCTTCACCCCTCACCATCCGGGACGGCGTGACGGAGGACGGAGGTGAGAGACAACTCTCACTCTCATTCTCACTCTCACATGGAAGCTCCTCTTATCCTCTCATCTCGAAAGATATCGCCCTTTCACTCACTCTCATCCACTCATTCACTCACTCACTCACTCACATATCCATACTCTCATAATCGCTCTCACAGCTAGCAATAGCCTACCCAATCAACGTCACATTCCAAAATGCACATGCGAGCAATGGAATACCGTACAGTACTTCATCCCTTAGCCACATCTCAAAGCTGTATACCTTACCCTTGCTCAACACCACCCCCCCTTTATTTTCCTCAACTCAACGCCCAGGGGGGAGGGAGGGGGGGAGGCAACTGAACCTGGTCCCCTCACTTTCTGCCATGTGCCCTGCCTGCGCCTTCGCCATGAGGCACGGCGCCTCCCATTCCCATAAACTCCTCACTCAATCACACCTCACCCTACCCAAAAAGGTGTGCCGCTCTCTGGCTGGGCTTGCTACCTTACCCCAGTCACGCCTTACGCAGCATGTCGTAGAGATTATTTTCTATCATATCTCGCCGCGCGCTGCCGCAACCGCAACCCGCAACCGCACCTCGCCTTATTGCAGAACTCCCGACTGTTGCGCCGCCGCCGCCGCCGCACGCCGTATTGAATCCCTCCGTCCGTCCTCCCCCCTTCCCTTGCCTTCCCTTACCCCCTGGTCGATGCCGTAGGTATCCATCGGACCATCCCTCTTTCCCTAGGTAGGGCTCCTTGTCCTGGCTGTGTGTGTGTGTGACCATGTCCCCTCATCCTTACCTCATCTTTTCAAAGAGAAATAAAGGCTCCGTCGTGATATCAGAGATGTGCGGTGTGCTAAGATTCGCGGCCATCCGGGCTGGACCCATGGCCTGGCTATGTCTACGTACTGTACCTTTACTGGTATATTGAGGGGGTGGTGGGCAAGGGGAGAAGAGGAGCCGTATTCAACGCCTAGGGGAAAAAAAAAAAGGTGAGGTCGTGAATGGACGACGACGGACAGGTCGGTAGGGATTATCATGTGCTCTCCTGCCCCCCTCCCCACCCTCCTTGTGGTGGGTAGGGAACAGGGAGCCATGCAGGTGTTCCTCAACCTCCATCGCGCCTAGCTCCATCAAAAGCCGTTGCCTACAGTGTGAACTAGAAAAAAAAGGTTACGATGCCCAGAGAAGAAGAGCGAATCTTTGAACAGCCGCGAGCCTTTCCGTCTGTTTCTATTGCCGTGCGGCTGTGTAGTTACATGCTTTATTTTTATTTTCTTCAACAACCGATCGTTGATGTTCAATCTAGGGCTCCGGAAACTACCATGTAGAGATGGTCGAGCCGCGGTGTATACTACCAGAAATGGTTTAAGGCGGTAATATGGACATGTCTCCGAAAAGACGCGAAAAGTTTCGCAAGATGAGAAAAACGTCACGAAGCTCCCGACTTGACGGAGATGCCATGTGGTCAATGTGATACGGACATTCCGCTGGCTCTCTCTCGTCGGACCAAGTGGATCACTACTCTAGCTCCCGTAGCCCGTCGTGAAGAAAGGCTCGCCGCCGTTGCGTGCACCGACATCACATCAGCAATTATCAATCTTTTGCTAGCAGGAAATCCCGTCTGCCTGGTCGGCGCCGTCAATCCCCCCCCTTGAACCCACATCGTCTCTCTGTCTCTGACAGTAAGTGGGCTCCGGTGTTTTGACGTTAATTTGCCTCCTTTTTGCTTCTTGTCAATTCTATCCTTTCCTCTTACAAGCTACGAGAGTATAATACGAATATAGATGCGAAAGAGTCATGAACCCTTTTCACGATCCGATAATTCTGCTCTATTGTTCTTTTTCCTCAATCTTTGCTGCCCACTGACATGTTGTCATGTAAGTCTGAGTTTCTCTCCCTCCCGTCTTCCGATATCGACTTCCGATATTTCGATTCGGAAGACGGACGCATGGCCGAGGTATCAAGAGAGGCGCAGGGACACGTCCGTCCAACTCTCGTCGTTCCATTCAGGGAACGACGTCGCCGGTTGTCCCCCTTCTTAGCCTTTTTGTCGTTTCTTTTCTTTTGTTTATTTCGCCTGTTTGTAGGTACCAGTGCTACTCCAACAAGAACCAGGTACAGAGAGTAGCCCACGGCTTGGTTCCCGTTTGATCGGATGCGACGGGCAGAACATCTGCTATGTCATTACATCCGGCCGCGCCTAAGTGCGCTGAGGTTGCTATGCATATACCTCGCCCTTACCTCCTCATGCATCCAGCCCCCAAAGGCAACGCAGGAAGGATGCCTATGGGCAACCACAAGGAAAGAAAGGGCAGATATACCTCGCAGGTACGGTGTTACAGAACGTGTCGCAACCCATCGAGCCCTGCCAATCGAACTGTACGGATACTCCCTCTCTCCCAATGACCGGAAAGACTTGGCCATAGCATAGTCTGATAAGGACAAGCCGATCATGTGCTGGACCAAAGAAACAAAAGTTGTCAACGACATATATCCCGGAATGGGTTCGCAAGCAGCCGTTGAGAAGGTAATTGCTGTGGCGCATTATTAGAAAGCCTCTCCCGCTTCCCATTAGGGCTTGACTCTGGTACTATATCGCAGCCTATAGTATGCAGCATCCATATCGCCATTGTGATGCACCAAGACAATGTGTGAATGAGTTATCACCTGCAGGCCAATGCATCTATGAGTTCCCTTTCACGGGAGGCCAGGAAGAGGCGCAACATGGTACGATTTACATACCCCGTACGACCTTGCGATGTCGGAACTTTCATGCTTCCAAGACCACCACAAGGCACACTACCTCTGTCGGTGCCTGCCGCCGCCGTTCCATGTACTGGACGTCCATCTTATGTTGATGCGCCTTACTCTGATGTCAGAGGACTTTGGACAGGGCCTAGGCCCCCGGGTAAGGCACCTTCTGCCTTTGGGAATACTCGGAAAACGGGCGTCTGAGATGCCGATGAACTGGATGGGTGTGTGGACGGATAGGGGACCAGGGGAGCGATCTACTGCGTAAGCACGCACGGCACAAGGCAGCACGTGCGGGGCAGCCAACGTCTGAGAGACCGCCAAAGAAAGTTGAGAGGTCAACCAGGTAGGCACCTTCGGAAGACATGGCCAAGAGGGTGTGTGAGGTGCCGCGGGCATGTTACTATGTAGGCGACCAGGCAGCCAACGTGCGGGTTCTTTCGCCGTCTGATATCTGGTTCTGAACTCTGATGACTCCCGCCACGTCGGCTCCAGGAAGCAAAGTGCCTTCATGGTTGACAGCTTTTGAAATCAGTAAGGATTGGCGTGGCAACACGAAGGCCGATACGTTGTGCTATACTAGCCCGCCCTAACTTATCTCCCACAATAGGAATACACAACGTAGGGTTGGTTTGTTTAGTTGTGAACATGAGCGGGGCGTGCTATAGTAGAGAGAGGGAGGCGTTGATGAAAACACGTGCATTTATGATCCGTAAAGCTTAGGTTGAGA